AACCCCTCTATCTCACGATCTAAGGTGTTATACACTTTGAGTTAACACTTACTCATTCAAAGGTGTTTATTCAGTTTTTGATAACGTGTGTGCTAAGAATTGGGTTACTCTTTTACCAACGAATAGTCACATTATATCGCCCCCGCGGCTGAAATGGGATTCGAATCAGCGACCTTTATATTGGGAGTCAAGCGCCCTAACTATATGGCCATTCCTGGCCTCTAAGAATTGAAATATAGTATTATAATGTGTTCTACTGATGGGCGGGTTCTTTTGAATCGTTTGGTAACAGTAAAGCTAAGTCCAGTCCACATAACAATAACAAAATAATTTATTTCTTCAATGCCTTTTGTTACAGGTCACGTTCACTTATAAACCTAATTTCACAAATATTTGTACAGAAACTCCACAACCAATCAACGCCTAATTCACAATTAAACTTATTTGGAGAATTTCCTCGTTAAATGATCGTTAACAAACACACTGTTTAACTCATCGAATCGCATTCGAATAGACCCAATTAGTTACACTGTCTGACTCACTATTTGGTTGGTTGGTTGGTTGTTTGTAATTAAGCACAAAACTACACAATGGGCTATCTGTGCTCTGCCCACCACGGGTATCGAAAACCGGATTCTAGAGTTGTAAGTCCGCAGACATACCGCTGTGCCACTGGGGGGCTGACTCACTAACTGACAAATAAATGATTCTATTTCACTTATGTCACTTTATTGTATGCTACTCCGTCTGGCATCATTCTGCATTTAATTTTAAACGGAAGTTAAAAGATTTTTTTTTTATGCATTACTTCGTGATTTTAAAACGAGAATCCACTGACGTTAAATGATTTGTAATGTTCGAAATTTATAAACGTTCCTGGCCAAATATCTGAATTTTTCCGATTAATAAACGTTAATCACAGTTATAGCACAAAGTTTATAGCACACCAACTTTAGCAAACCAATAATCAATAGCTACTTTTTGGGGGGTGTGTGTCGCGATGGTTATATTTATATGCGTGTGGAGACTTTCTCGAAAATTCAGATTACATAGAAATACAAAGCTACACTGACGTTTACGTACACATATATATTGTTGATTCTTACACTCGAAAATCTTCTACAACTTTAGAGAATAGGCGGGAGCTTCGCAATACATATTTAACAGTATAATTTATGTACACTTCTAAATGTAAGTTAAATTTCAACAAACATCGATCAGTATATAATAATAAATCCGTCACAATATAAATTGGAGAATTCATCATTTTAATTATATTGATTTTTCGACCGACTGTTAACGTCTCGTTTAAAATCTGCTTCTCGCCGTGTGTGTGTATTGCTAAATTGTTTCCAAATCTGCCTTCAAAATCACTTCCTTATATAAAACGCAAGTACAACACATCAGGAACCATTCATTTTTGCCATAGTTTTCTGACAGAAGAAATTTTCTATAAAGCTGCCACCTACTTATACCAATTCTATTGTGCGATTTTGAAGGAATATATTAAAATTAATAATAATGCAGTGCATAAGACAAAATATATGCAATATTAAAAATCATCTTGAATAAATGAGCCGGTAGTTTTTCTTTCGCATATTATTGTTACGTCTCTGTTCCTTAGTTAATTTTTCATAAAAATTCTTTCCGAAGAAACTTTAGCGATACAAGTCCTTTCTTAAATAAAACTGGTTTATTCTTTCTGAATACAACCGTGCAATACACTTAATTTCCACAATCGCGCTATAACAAACGCTATAATTCACAACGAACGTCTCACGTGCTCGGCTCAACTGTCCGTATCTATCTGTACCTGCAGTTCAATTACACATTACATTACATTGTTCCCGTCAGTTCTTACCGGTCTTATATATACAAGTATACTGCATATCTAGTAACCTCCCGAGATTTCAGAAAAGGACGTGAACGTTCGAGAATATGACGTGTTGCTAGAGTCACGTGACCCCGCTGTCGTACCATTATTATATTGTTACGTCTCCTTTTGTTAATTAATTTTTCCGTAAATTCTTTCCAACTAAACTTTAGCGACACAAGTCCTTCCTTAAATAAAACT